GAAGATTTTAAGGTGATGCAACATTAATTTAATTTCCTCAAAATTTAATTTATTTATCCTCAAAGCTCTTTGTGTCTATGATAAAAAGAGCTTTGAGGGCATTGTCAGTTAAGAGAATACAAACTACTATGTTTATCAGTCTCTCTTTTTCCACTTGTTATTTTTTTCATCTTTTAGGGTTGTAGAGTCCTGTGGAGGAGTCAGAGTTTGAAATATTCCCTTTATTCTGTTTCTGAAGTACTTAGCAAAGTGGCATATTTTTTTAATGTAATTTCAGAAGTAACTTTTTACGACTCCATTGGATTTTGATTGGATGGTTCAGTGTTAATCTTTGAAAGAATAAATGGTATTTCACTAACAGGCTTGGACTGTTGTACCATTGTTCTTTATGCTCAGTGTTTGTGGACTGGCACAAGAAGTTGTTGGGGTTTTTTCCTCTGTTTCCCAATTCCTACCTAAATAGTCTATTGATAATATGGTATCACACAAGGTGCTAAGAAGAACTTGCTCTTCAAAGGATCTCTTCTCCTATTTCTATTGTCTTTCTTGTTCAGCTTTCAGTGGGAGAGTGTGCTTACATTTCTCTCAAAAAGGTAGCAAACCATTTTTTTCAGTTTTACTTTCTCTTGTTTTTCACCATCTTGCAGAAACATTCTTGTGGCCTGTGTTTGTAGAGACACATTAAAAGAAAATGTTGTGTAATCTTGAATGTGTGAGGAAGGACACAACTCAGTAGCACCGGGTGGAAAAAGATCCCTGCCATTAGATGAGTTTATTTTTAATCTGCTTGCAAAATCTGGAAAAGGAATCAAGGAATCGTTCACTGCATACAGACTCATGTCTGACTTCAGAAGTAGATTGTAGTAGTTTATAACCACAGACATTATAATTTGAGGGTTACTATTTTCTGAAAAACAACTAACATTGCAGTCTGTGGTTGCATTTCCTAGATCAAGTTTAGTGCTGCTACCTGATTCTTGAGTGGAAACAAAAGAGTTTTCCTATAAAATTGCAAAGCAACATATGGCTTGGTTTATTTTTTAAATAATGTCTGGAGTTCTCTGGTGTATCAAATACACTACTTTTTCTTTCTGTCTTCCTAGAGATGTATATGTTGTGATTGTGTGGTCATTTCTAATACATGATTGACTGATTTCTCATGGTGTCAAATTGAGTATTTGAATAACTGTATTATATTTTTGATTAGGTATTCTTAATTTCTAACTGGTGTCATGTTAAAGCACACGTATCAAGAGTCCTGTAAGGGAGCCAACTTTGTGAATATAATTTTGTACCCAGCCACTGATCAAATATGTAAAAAAAATAAAGGGAAGAGGAAGGAGAAGAAGAATTGCACCTCAGATGCCATTTCCTTAACTTCTTACAGAAAACTGTTTTTTTTCTATTTTCTTGACTCTATTGAAATAGCACTAAGGGGCTCAAATAATGGTTTACCCTTTGTAGTTAAAGATGAAATAAGGGCCAATTTTTACCTTTGCAACCAAATTCTAAATTAGGATAGAATCTAAAGGTAGATAAAGCATTAAAGAGGAAAGAGCGAAAAGATGAAGGAAAAGTAAACATATGCTGAGAGAATGCACCTGAAGCTAAGTCTTTGTTTAACAGTAATAGGTAATATCTGAATTTGAATACCTTTGTATTAGTTGATAATTTACTGTAACAGTGGAAATAGAGGAAAAAGACAGACAATGACTGAGTACTTAGAGAAGAGCACTTAGTGGAAGGCCTTATAAAAGAAGTGAGGGTTTTTGTCACAGATAGAAAAAGTAAGATCATTGATTAAGATCAAAAGTATATGACTGAGTTGACTAAGGAACTATTGTGCAGTGTTTGCTCATTGAAGACTTCTGAAAACTGAATGAAAGGGATAAAAGAGTTTTCTTTCAATTTATTGATATCACAGAAAAGCTATCTTTTGATACTCTTGTCGTTGTTTCACAAGACTCTATGTTTGCCATTTTGAACTGCAGGTATAGGACAGTACAAACCAAGTCACCCACTTGAGGAGCATTGGAAGACGTTGTAAGGCCTGTTTTTTAAACAATAACGTGTGAAGAAAGCTGTGCATTTTATGAAACTGTTTCATTTCTTCTGAATTCAGTGAGCAGGGTAACATTTCAACTCAGATGAGAAACAGATATTCAGATCTCAGAGAAACAGATCTATATGATTCCTCCTAGGGTATGGTCAGTGAATAATCACAGAAAAACCCCAACAAATCAAAAGTGTTGCATACAACTTCCAGCAGTCTGGTAAATCCAGACGTTGGGATGAAGCCCACTAAAGCAGGAGTCTTTTTGCGCACATGAGATTGTCCAGTCTGGTGGCTACACGATCTGTCTGGTGACAGTAACTGCTGAGATGATTTTCAGGGAGAAACAGGAGGTGATCAGTGTCTGAAACAGAGAACTGTTTATAAATTGGGAAGACACATCAGCAATTAATTTGGTTAACTAGAATGTGGTAGATGAATCATAGAATCACTTAGATTGGAAAAGATCCTTAAGACTGAGTCTCTCTGTTAACCTCACATTGCCAAGGCCACCACTAACCCATGTTCCCAAGTGCCACAACTAAACATTTTTTTAATAATTCCAGAGATGGTGATTTAACCACAACCCTGGGGACTTGTGCCAATACCAGTGGAAATGAAGAAGAATTCTTTCCAATTTTACTTTTTCTGTTTTAATGTCAGTGTAATAAACTAGTGTTCCATTAAGGGTATTGCTAGTGGTTTCTGTTTTCTTGCATTTTATTGATAAACTTGTAGAATTTAATTATGTTTTTATTTAGGCTTTATAGTCCAAATACTTATTTGGACTATGTAGTGTTTCAAGTATTGTATCAAGGATATGTAACATACTTTAATTGATAGTAAGTATTTAATGGGTGTAAAATGTTCTACATATTAAGATATAGCAGTTTATCAATTCTGTAATTTCCTTTGAAGAGTTTAATGGGATATATTATGGGGTTTTTTTCCATTCTAACACAAGACAGTATTTTGAGGCCTTTTGAAAATTAAACTGGCATGAGAATATAATTATAGGAACAGCATATTTCTGTAATATGTAATTTTCTACTACTTTTTCTGTTGGTCTTGCTAGCATTCTATAGTGAAATATCTTTTTCTCTGGATTTTTCTTTGGTAAACTGAATTAAAATTGAAAAAAATCATAATAATTTTTCACAACTATGATTTTCATGTGTACTCTGCTCCAGAACAGTGGGGTCTACATAGTTACACATTTTAAATTTGGGATTTTAGACTTTCACTGCTATAAAAATAGCAAAAGTGTAGTTTTGCAGAAACTCTTCTGTTTCAGCTGAAATAGAGCTTTCTTTTTCAGTTGAATAACTTCCACTGAAGTTATAATTAGGTGGATTATTCATTTTGTACATTAATAGCATATTGTAAAATGCCGCTCTTAAAGAAACAGATGAATTATGCAACTTCATAAATATCTTCTACTTCCAAAACCTTAGAATTCCACCTGTCCTCCAGCCAACCGTCCCCACTCCCCCAAATCCAAGCTATAAATATGTATCATAAAATGTTTGTATTGCTCTGCAGTCAAGCAGACCTGTAAACAAATATGTGGGTAATGCAGTGTTATGTCTAACAAGTGAAGAGTAATAAGGAATCTATTTATATTTACCTTTGATTTTCTAAAAGTTTTGATTTTAAAGAACCCAAAAACATCAATCCTGTGTGTGAATAAAAACACTAGAAGTCATGTTGTGTTCCTATTTGAACCACTGAGGTTTTTTCTGTTATTTCCTGCTTAATTCTTCAGGTGCACCACTAGTGTTTCTGTTTCTTCAAATTTGGAATGTCTACAACAAAGGCACAGGAATTTCTAATTTCTGCCTTATTGCTGAGGCACTCTCCATTTTCCTCTTGAATCTCCCTGACAAATCACTTAAGATCATGTGATTACTTTTGCTGGGTGATTTTTTTTTGCTTTCTGAAAATGTTATATTTTCAGGATTTATACGTATCTGAGGCTTGTCATTTTGTTCTCCTGAATATTAGAAACAGAGCACTTGGATTAATAATGTCATTACTTATTCCATGAGTGGCTTTGGGAAGCTGGGACTTCAGTTTTGGGACAGTGACATTAGCCCAGCAATTTGTTTCCTTAACCAAATACTGCAGGTGATAGAGATGTTTTAAGAAGTGGTTCCTGGCTTTCTCTACTGTAATGCATTTGATGTAGGGTAATGCTAATTTAGGCGGGGGGTAGGTGGGTATCTTTTGCTGCTTTTTAGTACCATGTACAGAATGTCCCTGGCAATTCCCAAAGTTTGGAAGCAAATTAACGATCTTGACAAGTTTTTATATAAGTTTACAGAAAGCTTTGACAGTTTGTATCACAGTTTAGAAATTGGTTTTGGTGGTGTGGTTTTTAATAATTCAAACTGCATCAAGGAAGGTTCAGACTGCACATTGTGGAACTCATCTTTAAAAGAGGGTGGTCAGACACTGGGAGAGGCTTCTGGAAAGGTGGTTGATGCTGTAAGACTGTCATTGTTTCAGAGGCTGTAGGAGAATCCCCTAATAATGTGCTTTAATTCTTGGGCAGCCCTGAAGTGCTCAGGCAGCTGGAACAGATGATCTTGTATGTCTCTTCCAACTGAAGTGGTCTGGCCTGATAACAGCAAGTGGTAAATCTCTGCCATCCCTGCTCCTGATGGAAAGTAATATCTAAATTGTTTTATTTTTTCTGCTCTCAGGGAACATTGCATTTATATATACACAGCTTTAAAGTGATTATTCATCTATTTTTTTTTCTCTCTTATTTACCATTTGGTACTGAATTTATTGATTTTTATAAAGTTACCACATACATTTAGGATACCTATTACTGAGAAAAGAGTGTAGAGGCGATAAAATTTAGCAGGAGGAAAAAAGGGTGACCTTTTATCATATTTGTGACTTTTTTTTATGTCCACTGACATGCTTTTCTTTTGGAAAGGAAATTGTCAAGAAAGCATTAATGGAGGAGCAGAAACGAAGTGAAAAGGCAATCGAAGAAGCAGTAAAAAGAACAAGAGAGGAATTGATGGAATATATTAAAGAGCAGAAGAGGGTGAGTTACCAGTGGATAATGAGTTTCATCATGAAGTAAGAAATTGGTAAAGTTTTCTAAACCTCAAACCTCTCTTAAAATTCACAAGAAAACAGAATCAGAAGTTAGGTCTTCTGATCTTTCATTTGTTTTTTCAAACAATTTATTATTATGATGCATTATATATTTCTATATATTATGATACATATATTTTTGTAGACTTTTAAATCCATCACAAGTTGAAAAGCAGGCATTAATATTACATAAAGTAGCATAAAGATGAGGAGTAAATGCAGCCTATCAGATTTAAATTGTAATCTGAGCTCAGATCATAGAAGACATTTCAGTATAAATAACAGGTGTTATTTTTTGTTCACAAATGAAGTTTATTGTGAAGTTTGTATGCACAAAAAGACCATTATTTTTTCCTCTCAACCCATATTATCTGAGAACCTGAAAATGTACTGGTATTATATTAAGCATGATTTATAGTCAGTGCATTGGTCTTGTTATGAAATGTTGCAATGTTCTGAAAGTTGTTTTCAGTCATTCTATTAATGCTATATCCTGACAGTTTAATGCTTGTGTATAAACAGTAAAATGTAGCTCAAGGGACTTTGATTTGCTTTCAGTAGGAGGAGAAAAAAATAACACACTTCTCCCCTTTGAAGCTCTTTATAAAAACAAAAACAAAAAATAATTTAAAAAAACCTCTTTCATATGGCAGTAGCAGCCTGAGATCAAATTTCAGTATTCTCAATAAACAGAATCACTCAGCTTGACTGTAAAGGGTAGTGTTGTCCTGAGTAGGAAGTAGAAATAATGAGTTTGGCCTCTGCTTCTATAGTCCCTGCTTTTATAGGTTAAATAATAGTATGGGAAATAGGATTTAACTTCAGAAGTTTCACTCTGCTACTAGTTAAGATTGAAGTTGGGTGAGCACCTTCCATTATGCTGTGTGTGGAGACATTTCCTTTTAGCAGGATTTGTTTGATTTGGAAATACAATTTAAACAAAATACAGTGCAAAACATGATCCATAGTGATGTTTGAGCATATCTAAAGTCAGCTGCTTACAAAGGATAAGCTGTGTGGAAGGTGAAAGTAGGTCTGCTGTTAAAATAACTTACGATAAGCGTTGTGAATAAATGGGCCCATAAGGCCTCTGATGCAGATACATATTAAAAGATCACTTTCAAAGAAACAAAATCTTCCTTGGTTTATCTGGTAGGAGCATAAATTCCTTTCATTTCATAGAGCATAATAAAATATTTCAGCCAACCTTTTTCTCTTTATAATCAGTTGACACAGAGCCATTAATTTAAAAAAAAAACAAACCTAAGGGGAACAAGATTTTTCTGGCATAAGATTTATAAAGACTGCCTATATTCAAGTTGTAAGTGAAAGACTTGTTTAACTCCAAATCATGTAGCATAATAGCTTTTATATGGTTACATAAGAGGCAGAGAGGTCAAAGCTCATACACTTGTAAGAGTAATAAATGTATTTTGTGGACTGTGTTAGAAAGTAGAAGCTAGGAATCCCTAGAAAGAACTCAGGAAAAATGCCTTTTCTGGGATGCAGAGAAGTATTTGGTTAGGTTTTTTTGAGTGACAGGGGTATCTCAGGTACAAACTTGAAAAGGTAGTAGAAACTCCGTGTCATCATTGTTTTGAAAATTTGTTTACAGAACCCTTCAAACCATGGGCACAGCAGTATTTGTACTTGGTTAGCAGGGGATTATTTGAATTAGTAGGAAGTTGCTTAACAAAAAGCAACAATGTCATAATGCTAAAATGCTGGCAAGAATAAATATAACTTCCTCTTAATTGAAGCCAAAAAAGTCACCAAAGCTATGAAAGAATTTGTTGGCATATCTTTCCACCTTCAAAAAAAGAACACTAATGCTAAAAAAAAAAAAAAAATTAAAAAACCCAAGCTGTGATGGAAACAGGTCTTTTCATACAATAAATGAAGATGTGGCATGCATTGTAATTGTGCCATATTTTTTTGGAAGGTTTTTACAGATATATAGCACTACATTGGCAGCAGTTCTAATTATATACTGCAGTCTTAGTTTTATTTTCTCTGTTCTATATTAAATTAAGGTTTTTATACTACAAAAATGCTAGTTTTTTTAAAGTTGCCACAGCTAACACCTTAAGAATGTGTATATCTAAGATGTGAAGGAAATTTCAGTCAGGAATTTAACTCTTTGTTACATCATGGTTATTTCATAACCACCACCATTCTAAAGCAGGTGTCAAAACTGAACTAGAGTCAGGCTGTCCTATCTGTTCAAAGACATCTTCCATAGCTACCAAACTCATAGAGATTTTTTTAAACATTAGTAGCACCATGAAGAATCTGACTCAGAATCAAATACACGTGCTTCATCTGTTAACCAGAATTGTTTTCCCCAGCTAAGGTCCATTCACATTATTTCTAGAAAGCTATCTTTATTAATTGCCTAAGCTATCTTTATTAATTGCCTGAAGGTATATTATTTGACTGTTTAGTCTTACTTTGCCTGCATTTGCAATAAACATCAGGAAGACAAAACAATGCTTCACCTTGTTGCTGGTGGGGTGGGAAATGAGAGGACAGAGGTAGAGGGTAGCACACAGATAAAAAGGCACTGAAGTAGGGCTAAATGTCAAGCCACTGCTTTCACTTGTGTCATACAAAAATTATTTTCAGTTTGGATTTGCTGATGTGGTAGAATATATGTACATGCCTGCACATAGGCTCTCACATGTAGGTGTATGCATCCACACTTGTATTTGTTACCTGGGGATCAAAGCAAGGACTAGACCCTAATGTCCTGTCAACTCTGATTTAAGATTAGAGTTCTCAAACCCTGATCCCTGGGCTACAAGACAGAGGCATAGCTGTGGCCTTAACTGACCTTTACAACTGCATTTCTTTTGTAATATTTTTGGTTAAAATCTGATTAATGGGTACATGCTGCTCCGTTAGGGGTACAAAGAAAGGCTGGGCCTATCCCTGCTCCACTTTTCATGGACTTCACATGGGGCTTTGGCCCATTTACTAAACAGTTTGCTTCAGTTGGCTGATGCCAAATTAACTGGATATAAACAAAGCTTTTTCCCAAAGTGCAGTTTGTAAAGAGTTCCAAGGAACTTCCATGTTTGTTGTTTGCTCCTGAATGTGATGCAGTTCCAAGGACGCCTGAAATTTTGGAGGTGTGTTGCAAGCATTCCAGATATGTGAGGAAAGGAGAAGTGTGATAATTCCTTGTGCAAAGTGGGTTTTCCCTCATCCTTTGCTATCACTTAGTCTCTTCTCACTGGTCCAAGACGTGAACAAAAGGAGGTGCTGCCTGCACCTGATGGTCCATGAAGCTAAAAAGACAAGATTTGATTTAAGGTAGTAAGGTGAATTTTCAGAATTCACCAGCCTAGACAGCTGACTAAAGAGAGTAATGGCTTCATTTCAGAATTGAAAATAAATGGTAAAATAGCAGATAAGCAATATCTGAGTAAAATAATGTCAGTATTGCAGTATATTGATCTCCTTGCTTCTTAATCTTACTTTGAGGAGTGTGTGTTGGACTTTTCTTTGCATTCATAATGTGGACCTACAGATGTTGAGCAGTTTAGTGTAGCTCCTGCCATTCTATGAAGACAATTCCTGAAATATATTTATATTTTATATGACTGGCGGAGATATTTTTTTTAATTAATTTGCAGATAGGAAGTAAAAGAACTAAATTTAATAAAAATAGGTTTTTTAATAACAGAATGAAAATACTGAAAGCTGTGTAATACTGACTTAAACAAGTAGGTCTGTCAGGGACATCTATACAGACCAGAATATCACCCAGAGAATTCTGGTGGAGTTTTATATTTCCACGTGTCTCATAAAAATTCTGATGATCAAGGCAATTGATTGATCAGTACTGTATTTCAAACTAAGATCTGTATCCAATTACTTGTTAGAAAGGTCAGGAAATTCTTTGCTCTGCTTATTTTTTCATAACTGGACAGTGTTCTGGCTTCTTGAACATAATCTGCAAATGTTAAAAACTTTCAACAAAATCTTTTGCTGAAAATTAAGTCCTGTTAGTTCTAAAATCAGACATATGTTAAGAAGTCTTGTAGAATAGAGGTTTACAAAAGGATTTTTGTTATAATATTTAGATATTTTGCATGCTACAGGTTGCAAGTTGTTTATAAATGTCATAGTTCAGTATTTTGCTGCCTATTCATTCCAATTGAATGCTTAAAAATATTAATTCAATACGTTTTATTTATTTATTATGTATTTATGGCAGATAAAAAACAGTGAACTAGTATTATTGTGCCTACTATTTTTGTATCTTTTAATTTTGTGACCATTAGCTGTACAGAGATAAAAAATAATTTTTGAAGTTGATATACTAAGGAGAGAGTAAGTCACAAGAGGAAAAGTTTTCTATCAAATAAATCTTGTGCTGAATAGGTTGTTTAAAGGACTTAATTACAAAAATTCAATTCCTGAGGTATCTAGCCACCTAGTAAATAGGAAAGATTTTAATTTTTCCTATTTACATTGATATTCATCTTCCCTCAGGAAAATCTACTGCTTGCTTTCTGAATGCAAAGATGAGGATATTAATCAATCACCTTTTTTCTGCTAATTGTACACAGTTCTCATTGACTTTAAAGGGCATATTTAAGGGCTGTCAGGGAAAAAATACATGTTAGGGCTTGAGTCATCACTGGAATGACATATTTGGTTTTAATGTAACCCCTGTTTCCCTGAAGGGCAGACACTTGTCATAAATGCACTCCCATCCTTAAATCCTTGATTTAAGGGTCAGATTCTGAGAGCAGAGATGTCACCATTATAACAAAACTCACTGTACTACTGTTTGTTCTTATATGATTTGTGCAGCTGTGCATCATAACCTTTATAAAAAACAGAACTAAACATTTCTCTGACTAATGTTTACCAAAATACTGCAGAACTGAGAATAGCCAAAGAGGTACTTATGGGGATTTTGTATTTAATACGTAA